GACCCGAAGCCACATCTTAAAATCAAAATTTAAATAGAGAAGCAGGTTCTGGTACCCTTACTAATCCAGTTTGGTTTTAGCTGATATTTTTATTGTATAACTTTCAAAACTATTGAAAACCCTATCTTAAATGAAAACAGAACAGCCCGGTCCTGGTAACTTAACGGACCCGTAAAGCTGTTTTGTTTTCATTTAAGATGGGGATTTCAAAAGTTTTGAAAATGATGGTACTTAACTATCAGCTAAAGAAACGAATTATACTTGTTAAGGTGAGAGAAACTGCTTCTCTATGCTTCAGATTTTGATTTCAAAATTTGGCTTCGGGCTGGGGACTTTCGAGAAAAGGGCTCCAAGGCCCCCACTTTTGGATTTTTTAACACAGAATCAAGTGCACCAGCTATTAGGGAGACGGGTCCCTAACAAAATAAAAGGGAACAACGAAAAGTAAACAAAAATAATAATATCAACAACAAAACGCCAAAATACAGCATAGGCGTAGTAAACTACCCCAATTCTCTACAAAAATCTTATCAAACTCGATAATGAGAAAAAGCCTTTTACTATCACTCGGAAAAGTTGAAAAAGGTATTAAGATTCAAAAGTCGCTTTTACTGATAAAAGATTCACATGAAAATGAACCATTGTCTTTCAAAAAATAATTGCTACAGTATACGTTATACATTTTTTTACTTACTGCCGAAGACCAGTTCCGAACTTCTCCTTCGATGGATCCATCAACGGACAGCAATGGAATCACTTGGCTGCCAAACAAACCTTCCAGCTTGATGTCAAGTCCTTCCATTTTAAAAACCAACTGAGAAAGAAAATAAAAATTTGAATTATCGTTATGAATGGAAAATTGATCTCTGGTGGCCCCTAAAAATATCAGGATGACTGATCTGGATCTAAAATGTTTCTTGTAGCGGGGGCGCAGCTAAGATTTTTTTTAGGAGCGGGGATGGGAAGTTATTGATTTCCGCACGTCGTAGGTAAACTGTCTTTTACCGCTTCTCTTCCTTGTGTATCAGCGGACTCGCATTATTAACGGCAAGAGCGATGGACCAATAGTGTACCTAGCATTGGAAAGATTTATGCCGGGTAGATTCTTCGGATTCGCTTTTTTTCTCAAATCTGAATCATGAGATTTGTATTTACTTGACCTCTTACAAAATTGTGTCTAAAAGAAGGGGGAGGAAGTCACGGGCACCCCAAGAAACCCCTTGGCTACGCCCTTGTAAACTTACCAATTCTGTCTCATGGTTACCAGCCTCGTTGGCATTAACATGGTTGGGAGGCTTCTCCTCACCTAGAGATGAAGGATACAATATTTTTCCTTTAGGTCAATCGCAAAGGATAACAACAGACCATCCCAAGACAATTCATAACAGATCGTTAGCTCATCGTGAAGAAGCTAAGACAAACATTCCAAAACGTACTTCCAACTTGAACCTCTTTGGGTAAAAG